AAAGTGCTACTTTTAATCATTAAAGCCATGAGAATTGGTTATCTGAGGGTTATCTGCTCATCCCATCAGATCCAGGAGTGTAGGCATGTTATGGGTCCTGTCAGCTAGAGATCTAAATTTGCCAAGTCCTAAGCAGTGGGGCTTTTCTGCTGTGGTGTCATCTTTGTGAAATACCTTTCCCCCAGAATAAGATTGGCTCTTCACTTTTGACCTTTGGAAGGTCTTCAAAATCTATCAGACATTCATATTCTAGTGGACCAGGGAAGAAGTGAGATGACTTCTGCATTATTAACATCTTCTCACCTAATATTTCTTCTTGTTTAGCTTCACTTTTGTAGGTTTTTGAATTTTTTACTATCATAATAATATTTTACTACTTATTAATTTAACTGTTTTTAGCAGTGATTTGTGAGCATTTTTCAAAGTAATGATCACTACAGCAACCTAGGTCATGTGATCAAAATTCGGACACTTGGCAACTGTAATGTATTTATGGCAATCTCCCAGGGTCATGTGATCACTTTTTGCAACCTTCTGATAAGCAAAATCAATGAGGAATCCAGATTCACTGAACAACTCTGTTACTAACTTAACAACTGCAGTGATTCACTTAATAACCATGGCAATAGAGATCATAAAAAGAGGCACAATTCACTTGAGAACTCTATGGCTGAACAGCAGAAATTCTGGGCTCAATTGTGGTGGCAACTCAAGGACTACTTGTAAATAGCATACTTTCAATGATCACATTTGTTTGAGTTTCAAGACAGTTTATTTATGGATACCTCAACCTAAACAATCTGAGCATCTTGCTGCAGTGTAAGACACACAGAGCTTTGATTACATAAATAAAGGCTGGAAAGGTGGCTATTAATCCACCCCTTTGAACTTTGAAAATATCTGTCCCATTTTCTGAAGAACCACTTATCTATATCAGTTCGAGCATTTTCTGATAATAACATGTTGCAAGCCATTTAACATTTCTTCTTTGATGACAATTATATATTTGCATTACATATTTCTTGATTCCTTCCATGTACAAAACCCCCATCTATAAAAACACACACCCCCCCCAACACACACACACACACACACACACACACACACACACACATAAGTGTCAGCTTTGCTTGGAAGAAACAAGGCAGCATCATGAATAAGGTTGTAGGCAATCATTCTCAAAATGAAAATTTTAATTAGTCAAGTGATAATTACACTGACAACCATGAAATATTTTCAGAAGACAGGAGACCATGTTCCCTATTGTTTCATATAACAACACCTGATACAGACAACTGTCAAATACTATTTGGGATGATAGCATGAGAATTATCATTTGACGTACATATAAAAACACTTTTGACACATCATTATTTGTTTTTAATCACTTTAGCTTGGTTTTGTGATTAAGCTGAAGAGCTTAGATCTGATTTCACTTTCTTCTTTAAGATATAGAGCTAAATTAATGACCCAGTTAAGGAAGAAGAGCCCTGTTTGATCTAAGAAAAGTTCAGCCAATTTGGTCTAGAAGTAAAGGCACCAGGCTAAAAACCAGAAGACTGTGAGTTCTAGTCCCACCTTAGGCATGAAAGCAGGTTGTGTAACCTTGGGCCACTCATACACTCTCTCTCTCTCAGCCCCAACTCATTTCTCAGAGTTGTTGTGGAGAAAATAGGAGGGAGAAGAAGTATTAGGTATGGTTTCTGCCTTGAGTTACTTATACAAATAATGAGATAAAAACAAATAAAGAACAAAAGAACGGTTTTGTTATACGAATATCAATCCCTTTGTGAGATATCCTTAATATTTCAGGCAAAACAATCTCAAGAGTACCTGATTTCAGCTGCCAAGTATTAAATTGCAAATGTATAATAAAGCATTTTTCATAAACATGTCCCTCTTCATTTTGGGGAAAAATCATCTTTATCTCTTTAAGAGCTCTCCCAAATGGTAATTACATGCTAATTAGTTGTAAGTGCGAAGAGCGCTTATAACTAGAGTAGTTCTCCATTAATGATTGAAGTTCTGTTACTCCCCATAATTATTAGCTATTTTGCCCTATTGATTACTTAGAAAGAGCTTTAATTCTATCTACTACAAATATTGAAAAGACTGTATTTACTTAAATAAAGAATATGAGTAGTCATAAAAGAACTAGTGTTTCTGTATCTCTTTGCTGCCTTTACGTGGGTCACCTGGATTTTTCAATATGATATGTTAGCCCTGTGTTTTCATTTATGTGTGGTAACATCAATAGTTTTTATTTATAATGGAGACTTCCGGTTTGAGCTTCTTCGGTGACAGACCGAAACCTCGTCTCTGTGAGGCTTCAATCCCTGCTCACCGCTGGAGCGCCCCAAGCCAACTGGTTTCAGGGCTAAGCCACCCCATAGAGGTTGTGAAGAAGGGGAGACTGCCTGTTGGGTTGAGGAGAGCCGCATCTCTCCTCCCCAGCTGGCCATTACTCTCTTTCCTGAAGGCGGTTGTAGCGGTGGTCAGAAATGGGCACCACAAAGAAGAACTCGACCGGAAAAGAATGTGCAGGAGGAAAATAAGAGATAGTTTTGGTTGACTGGGTCAAACAGCAAAAGCAACAAATAAGGTACCCTGGAACTGAAACTATTTAAAAAAATGACATTGTTCCCTAAGAAGATTTTTAAGCTGAGAATGAGAGAGAAAAGGGAAAAGATTTGGTTTTTTTTCTCTCCCTTTCCTATACTGACAGCTAAGAGACTTAAGAAAGAAATTGGAAAAAAATCCACTTTGACATTAATAGGCATTTAATGCTGAAAATAAAAAGTCAAAGGAATAATAAAGATTTTTGGATAATCAAAAGCTTTTGAAAACAGGAAAGGAGAGGAAAAGAATAAAAGGGTAGGATCTGGAAGGGAGGAGACTGCCTGGAATTAAAAAGAACTTACAGCAAAATCTCAAGAAGACTTCCAAAAGACACATTTTAACTGAAATATCGCAACAAAAACCCCAGGAAGAGAAAGTGGAAAAAGAAATAGGAAGAAATAAATTTGGACTATTTGGATTACTTGATGATTTCTGGATTTTTGGTTATTGTATTTGAATGACTAAAATCAATCGGGTGGTTGTTTAAAACTGTTTAAAATGGCTCCACTTTTAGAAGAACTGAAAATGGAACTTAAAAAGTACAAAGAAGATGCACAAGAAGGGAGAGGTTCTTTTGGCTTCGTATTTCAATTCTTAGAAATGGAGATTTGGAACTATGAGAAACAACAAGAAATGCCTGCAGAACAAGAAGATTGCGACAAAGAAGAAGCCATCTTTAATGAACAAGTAATCTTAGGTGGGGGAAAAAAGGAAAAAGGCGAAAGAGAATGGAAACTTTAGGAAATGGGAAAAACAACCCCCCAAAAATGAGTGAAAAATAAGTATAAAAGTATAAAATAAGTATAAAATCAGAAAGCAGCAGAAGAGGGAAATGCAGAAGTGAGAATTAGAAGTAGAGAGACAAGGGGGTAAAAAGGGGAGGGAGAAGATGAGAGGGAAGAAAAAAAGGAAAAGAAGTTATAAAAGACAGAAACAAAATATAGAGAAACAGGGCCTATTTAGAGATAATGGGTGAAAATTTAATGGAAAAGGGGATTCTGAAAAGGTACATAAGGTAGTATGGTTATATTAGAAATAGAAATAATTTTAGAAAATATGAAACAATGTATGATTAAAATGTTTGATAAAATAGCTATCATAATCCAGTGGAATGTTTGTCAATAAACAAATGTAACAAAATGAATATTTAATGATTTACAAAACATATGTGAAGAGGAATAAGGGAAAAATTAATTATTGAGATTATATGTGTCTTTAATTGAAAAGAAGTGTTAAAGATGTTAAGATTTTAATGATAGAACTGAATTGGAATAGAATGAGGGTTTATAATTACATATATTTATAATCTTTTTAAAAAAAGAATATAGTGTGTATTGTAAGAATGTACCAAGCAGAATTCAATTGGAAGTTATGTATTATGTATTATATTGAAGCTAATAACCTTAAGGTACATATTGAAGTTTAAATAAGAGTTGAATGGATGTAATTAAAGATATAAAGGTGTCATACTCCAATTAGTAACTACAGGAGAAATTTGTTTAATGAGAAAAGATAATATGAAATTGAAAAGAACAGACAAAAGTATAAATATAATGATTTGAATTGAGATGAGATAATCAAAATAAAATTGAGAAAATTAAAAGAGGGGAAAAACTATACAGAAAATGTAGAATAGTATAAGATATGGAATAGAACACAAAAAGGAGCATGAAATTGAGTTTTGTGTCTGTATAAAGAAGTTCAACCCGGGACCATGCTATTTTCAAAAAAGATGTTTTACTTGTATTTTGTATGTGTGAAAACCCAAATAAAACTTTATTAAAAAAAATGTTTTTATTTATAATTATAAGATTTTGAGTTTTCTTCTTCACTTTGTCTTAGTTTGTCTTAAGTAAATGGAGCAAGCTGACCATACAGAAGTTGCTTTAAAAGATCATGCTATTATGTGTCACTGACATAAGACAGTATTTGCTATTAATATGTTGCTTTTAAAAATGTTTTATACAAATTTATACTTCATATCATTTTGTATTATTGACTTTGGTCCAGTCACTGGATTTCAGGGGTATCAAACTCATGTTGTCACGGCATTGTCACCTGACATCTCAGGACTTTTTTCCCCTTCACTAAATCAGGTAGGGCCAGCTCATGACAGATCTGCCCTACGGATCGTGAGTTTGATATTCATTCCAACACCCATCACAGGGTTATTTGTGGTGGAGAAAATAAGAGGAGGAAAGAATATTAGGTATGTTTGCCGTTTTGAATTATTTATAAAAAATAATGAAGCCATATAAATAAATAAATAAATTATCAATTATTTGATCTTATCCGAGAATATGCTTATTGCTATATTACAGACATTAAAACAATAAAAAACAAACAACAAACCTAGAAAGATTTAAAGTGATGGCACTTACTTGGGGAATTCAGCAGACGTGACTTTTTGCAGTGGTAAATTGTCTCCTGGTCACAATATTCTGCATTATTTGTTATTGCTTCCAGCTGATCTGCACTGCTATTGTAGCTGAAGTTCATGGTATATGGCTTCCTAGCATCAGATCCATGGACATGAGTCAATTCTGTGTTATTGTGCTGTACCACTGTCCAGATCTTGTCTTCTGTGGTGAAATGAAAAGGAAAAGAGATAAGAAAGTGGCCTTTTTTTTTCTTGTTTCATCATTTTGTTTGCTTGATATTTCTGTCACATACATTGGGGCATAGAATATAAAATAGGTATCTTTGATAAAGTGTTAATTCAAAAAAAGGAATAATTTAATGTTTCCATTTTTAAACCAAGATATCCAACGAATTGGAACACATTGCAGTCCAAAGAGATTTACAAGTAACCCCCAATTGTTCTGCTCAGCTGAAAAACAAAATTTTATAAATATGTAAACTTGGAGTCTTACGAGTAATTTTAAGAGTCCATCACCTTATGATTTTACAGCTTATATTGCATTTTTGTTCTATTTTCTGGGTTAGTATGGATCAACACAGTATATAAAAGAAAGGGAAGAAAAAATCCATGGATTTCTATAGAAGCGAATTTTAAAGAGAGATGCTGCTATACCAGAAACATTAATAGGATTTGCCTGATTATTTTTGGCAACAAAAACAAAAAACAAAGCCATCGGTGTTCAAAAACCATGTACAACAAAGATGTGGTGAAAAATAACAATAGCTAGCTAGGTAGCTATTATGATAGGTAGGTACAGTAGGTAGTTAGGTAGGTAGGTAGGTAGACACAGACAGACAGAGAGCAAGCAGACAGACAGATATAATTTTATTGTGTCACACTCCACACAAGGAGATTGTACAGTGAGGTAAGTGAGATCTCTGGATCAGACCATTGTTCTGGCTGACTTTTAGATGGAAGCAGAAAGCTTTGCCAACCTATGCTATTAAGTGGTGACCTCAACGACCCTTGGCTGATGGCAAGACAACACTGCACTTGAGTTTTAGTGTAGTGGAAAATATATTCTGTCCTTTCATTTTAGGAGTAAAATAGAATTGATTTTCCCTCTCTATTATTGGATTATTTACCATAATAAAAAGGAAGTAGGGAGGGAGGGAAAGAGGGAAGAAAAGAAGGAATATAGCAAAAATGAAATAAAGTAGTGTTCATTTTCACACAGGATTTTAAAATTGGCAATAATTTACCATTTCCCAACACAAAAATTCCTTTCCCTTGATTGTTCCCAAGTAACCATTATTCAAAACCTTTCTGGGCTTTCAGGCAGCTCACTCATAACAAATGAGATCCATAACTTCTTTATATGGTCAGGCTTAGCTCACTCATATATGCATATCTGATATCTCAAGTGGACTATTACAATGTGTTCTTCCTGGGACTCCAAAGTAATTTGGGAACTTCAAATTCCCAAAACAACTTTGAAATATTGCTATTTGAATGTTGTTGGGTTTTGTATTTATCAGTACCTTTGGTTTGCTGAAATGTGTTTCAATTATTGGTTAGTTGCATTATTTCCAATATTGGTATGCAGATGTAAGCCAAGGAAAGAGAAAAATAAGGATGAAAATTCCCTGGATAAAATCTTTCCCATCCTCTCTCAACTCCCCCAAAGTCTTCTTAAAGTCCTCACCACATGTTGCATCAATACAAAGCAAACAAATAAACAAACCTCAACTTGGGTACAAAGAAAAATAGCTTTTTATAAGTTCCATTGGTTATGATCAGCATAAGGGATATGGTTAGAAACATGATTTTTTTTAATGAAGTTCTAAGTAATAGTGGTGGTAGTGCTGGGATTGAAGAAACAGGCTGGTGAAAAACCACTGAATTGGAGCTGGAAGCTTGTGACCAGACACAGCAGGAATTTAAAATGACCAATGAGACCTGGGTACTCAGATAATGGCAGGCTGGGATCCTGGTAGATGTGATGGATATGATGGCCAAAACTGGTGAGGATCTTATTCACTTACTAGAGAACAGTTATGGTGAGGCTGGCAGGTTGGGAATGCTGTGAAACACAATTGTAGTTTGTTGGTTTGGAGAATCATGAGCAGTGGTGGCAGGGGAAATCTGAGTACCAATGATTAGATAATTGGTACAAATACCAATGTTTTGGACCTAAGAAGCTGCGTGTTAATCAAATGCAGTTCTCTGGGATGTATGCTGGGTGATGTGAATTGGATGACAAGTGGTTCTCAGAGCCTAATGTAACTGGTTGGAGATTGGGAGATATTAGATTTTTGGAAATTGGAGGGCAGGTGAGAAGATTCCAGTGGGGGCAGCTAAGCTAAGATAGAGTTCCACTGAAAATATGCACAATCCCATATTAAGGCTTAAATTTAGTGATAAGATTGACTTCTTTTTCTGCTGATATCACATCCACACAATGCCAAGCTGCAATTTTTAAAATATAACATGACCTTAACAAAGGTTCATCTTGCATGCCTATCATAGCTGAATTAGGAGGCATCCCAAATGATCATGCATTTTTAGATCACCTATTGTTTGGACTACTGTGATGCACAGGGACATACTGTGAGCGGATATCCTTGAAGACCATCCAGACCTACATCTGATATCAAATTTACGTGATACTCCTTGTTTAGTCCCTGTAACATCTTTACTTATAGGTGCAAATTAAGAAGATAGTTGTCTCCTATAAAGCTCTTCATAACTTAGGGTCTAAATGCCTGCAGGATTGCTTTTCTTTGATTGTTTCTGTCCCTCTGAGAAAGGCTTGTAGGTCAACATGCTCCAGATAGCATTGTCTTATGGGACTTTGGGGACTAGTATTCTCTGTAATCATCCCTGCCCTCTGTCATAAGTACATATGTCTCCAACCTGATAGTCATTTAGGAAAGTTCTAGGTTTTTTTTTCAGCAGACCCTAGGGCAGAGTGATGTGCAATGCTGCATTTGATTTTATGTTTTGTATAATACATAATTACTATGGTATTTCCATAGAAATAATTGCTATTTGTTATTTGTTTGATTAAGATTTTTATCCTCTTCTGACTTGAAATAATAATAACACCTCTTAAATAACATCAGCAAGGACAAAACCATCATAGCTCTATTTAGAACAACCTACATCCTGCAACAATACTTTTAATGCTATTAAATAACAACCCCTGTCTATCCCAGGTCCTTGGGAAGGACTTGATAAATGGATCAAAATGCCACATACAATTTAAATGTCTGGCTATCTGCACGACCAACCATAATAATAGTAATATACACTGCCTTGCTAAGTTGACTAATAAATTAAGAAAATAAATGAAAAAGCCCAATATCATTTCATAAACCTTTGCAATGATTTGGGGACAAGGACCATGAGTTAGGTTACTAGATTTTCAGAATCTAATCTGAAATCTGCTGCTGTTATGGTGTATTTGGCTTTCCTATTCTTTTAGTTACATTTTTTTTTGCATGGAACTAAAATAAAGGCACTACTTCTCTTTACATTTACCTTAACAATTATCTTTTTTAATGTTCTTTTCTCTATTCCACTTGGTTTTCGATCAATTTCCTCAATTATAAGATATTTTATGTAATTTTTCTAAATATACAGTGTATCTGTGTGTGTGTGTGTGCGCGCGCGCACTCACGCACACGTATGTGTATGTGTATGTGTGTGTGTGTGTGTGTGTGTGTATTCTAGCAGTCATGATAATAATTTACTGCATTTACCATTGTCATCCATGACCTTGTGGCATTTCATTTGGTAGATGAAATCATTTGAGTTAAAAAAAAAATCCATTACATGTTTCCTTTACATATCTACTGCTGGAATAACTCTCAAATATCTCAAACAGAAATAGAGGTAAGTTTGTTTGATTTATATTTTAATGTGAACACTTTTCTAATCAACATGCAGATGAATATAAAGCTATCTTTCAGTGTTTATACCTTTCAACAGACTGTAATATAAATTCTCTGATCAAGAAATACATATATTAAGGAGAAATGTACATACATATTTATATGTTGGTGCAAATAACATTCAAAAATATATTATGTTTAAGAAATTTGATTTTTAAAATATGTACTGTGTTAAAACACTATCTCTTGGGAGAAAGAAATATGAATTTATGAACTGATAAAGAAAGAGGGTAACAACAATTTCAAGAACTGTAAAATGGTTTAAGAACCTATGCTCTCCATCTCCCTACTCTATTCCCCAATTTTACCATATTCACCAGCCATAGAAGAGATGAAAGTGGGGAGTGCCAGAAAAAAGCTAGAAGTATGCAGAAATTATAAAATCATAGGGCTCGAAGGGTCCTTGGAGGATGTCTACCTGTGAGAAAACAGCCCTCTGTTTCTAAATGAGACACACCAGGTGTCAACTTCAAACTGAACCTGGCCACAGCCATCTTTCTAATCCTCAATTGCCACACAGAGGAGGAAGGGGGAAAGGGGATTGGAATGCATCACTAGACACAACAAAGAGCTTTCTCATGAGAACCAAGGTCATCTCTACTGGCAACAGATAAGGTTAGGGAAGGTCTGCCTGAAGAGCCTTCCAATTAACCCAATTGGCCAATACGACCTGTGACACTTGGGGATGGGGTCATTTCCTAGTTTAATTAAAGATTTAGAATTGATTTTCCACTGAAGCGGTGCTGATATGATGTACTCATTAAAGAAGAACTTTGAGAAGAAGCCAAGTCTCAGAGTTCTGATTTGCTTATGTTCATCAGTCGAAGCCTTGACACCAGGCTTTTCTTACTTCAGATGAACTTTGAGTTAGGAATGATGTCAGAAACGATCATCTGTTTCTCTGATTCTCTGTACCTTGCCTCTTTGACATTATTTTGGAACTCAACTAGTCAACAATCTCTTCTATGCATTGGACTCCAAAGCTATTTCACCATTCTAGTGCCTGACTCCCTGGGCTTGAATCTATTTATTTATGCAAGTTGCCAGACTACTGGAAACTTGGTTACTTTGCATATAATGGCCCATGGCTTTTTGTAACTTGTTATGAGTAAAAGTTTGCAACTGCCTCTTGGGTTTGAGCGTGAGCTTGGACTGAGACAGGATAGTGCCCATGCGATCCTCACACATTCTTCTTGATCCATGTCCCCCACATGTTCTGGAAATGTGGACCGGTTTAAGAACCCAGAGAAGCCAGTGACAGTAC